GTATTTTAATCATTTTATATTTTATTGTATTGAATTTTAATTGTTGTAAGCCGCCCAGAGGCCTTTGGGTAGAGTGGGCGGCATATAAATAAAATAAAATAAATAAATAAATGTTGGGTGTGGCTGCTACCAGGATGTGGAACATCCTTCCTTTGGAAGCGAGGTTGGCCCCTCCCCTCTTGTATTTCTGGTGGCAGCAAAAGAGGTTTCGATTTAAACAGGTTTTTAAACTAAATTCTGTTTTATATTTAGCTCATTTTAAATCAAATAATGTGGTGTTTTTTAAATGTTACTTGTATTTTAATGATTGTGAGCTGCCTTCAGTCCTCTTATGGGTGAAATGGGATGGGTGAATAAATGAATAGTCCTTTAAACAAGGAAAGTTGGCATGCACAGCTGGCTATGAGATTTGGAACTTTTATCTTCCTTCTGCGCACCCCCCCCCCAGGTTCTGCATCCTTGGGATAACATAACCAGAGTTTAGAAAAGTTGTTTTTTGGTGTGGATTTTTTAAATGATTACAACCCATGTGGGTTGCATTTATGTGCAGCTGCTGATTTTACGGGCTTGGAAATCTGTGTCTCAATGACTGGGCAGCAGAACTCTTAAGATCAACAGCAGGAAGATGTAACATTTATATGAAGAAATGACTAATTAAAATGCAATGAGATATGGGGTAGCTTTCTGGAATGCTTTGATGACTGCAACAAAACCTCCCCAGAGCAGCAGCTGTTGGGTTGTCTCATCTGGCTCCTTGCCCCAAAGACGCACAACTTATCTTCCATTTTTCCGTCCATGTGCTCTCTCTCTCTCTCTCTCTCTCTCTCTCTCTCTCTCCTGCACCCAACTCCTTTATCACTTGCTGCACTTACCTGATTGAAGACAGAAGAGCACATAGTATGAATTAAGACAGTTAACCAAAATGTGACTTAATTATAGTTTGTGTTCCTTTCTCTTTCACATAACTTTGTATCATGAAGGTATACTGTACTCGATTTTCAAACTTTCAAGATTTTTTTAACTTATAATTTCTGGGGGAAATGGAAAATTTTGAGAAGCAACTCATTAAATGTATTACAAACACTTCAAACATTATAAAATTGCATTCAGTTTCACTAAGTGTTTTGGCACACTACCAAATTTTTAATATTTTAATTACTTCCGTTGGATATGATTGTGTCCTGTTGTATACCACCTTTTGTATAGTTATACAAAGTGATATACTTCTTAGTTGTCTTAGATCCCTTTTCTAGTTCTCTTGGTAATCCACCAATACAACAGGGCACTCTTTATAGCACAAGTGGGAGATCTGTAGCCCTTCAGATATTATTGGTATGCCACTTCCACCATTCCCAATCATTGGCCTTGCTCTGTGCGGTGATGGGAATTGGAGTCCCACAAAATCTGGGAAGTCACAGGTTCCCCACACTTGTTGCACAGCATCACATGGAACTCCCTACATGCCCTGTGGAGAAATGAGTACCTCAGGTCTGCATTCAGTTTCTGATTTGGTGGTTTAGGGAAATTCAAAAATTCTGCCAGCTAGTTTAATTTATTCCATTATGAAGGAAATCAACCCTGAGTGCTCACTGGAAGGACAGATCCTGAAGCTGAGGCTCCAGTACTTTGGCCATCTCATGAGAAGAGAAGACTCCCTGGAAAAGACCTTGATGTTGGAAAAGTGTGACGGCAAGACGAGAAGGGGACGACAGAGGATGAGATGGTTGGACAGTGTCTGCGAAGCAACCAAGATGAATTTGACACAACTCCGGGAGGCAATGGAAGGTCCATGGGGTCTCGAAGAGTTGGACACGACTTAGCGACTAAACAAAAACTTTAATTTATATAATATTACAGGTTACAGCAGATATTTTTTTGAAAAATAAGTAAGAGTTTGAAAACAAAATAACTATTATGTAAGTTTCAGATAGCTAGGCTTCACAGATTTTGAGGTATTGGTAAAGGCAGACAGACAAGAAAATCTTTTATGTGATAGCAGTGAGTTTAGTGGGAGTGGGAATGTACTATCAAAATCAAAAGAGCCCAGTATTCCCATGCTACTAAAGGTCTCTGGAGAACAATAATAGGAGATCCAGTTTATACACTTGAGTTGGGTTGTTTTTTTAAAATGAATCTCCAAGCTAAGATGCTATTTCCAGGCAACTGCAGTAGCTGTTGCATATGATGGCTGTTGGGCCAAAAGATCCAAGATCACACTAGGAAGGCAGCCCAGAACTGTTAGGGACATTGGGAGGAAAATGATGCCACGTGGGACATTTCTAAATGGCAAATTCACGTAATTATTGATTTTTCCCAGGCTGCATAGGATACATTGTTGCAAGCTGAAAGGGCCACACAAGGTCAATATTCTTGGGTCACATTCTCAGCTGGTGTGTGCATGTACTTACTTTACTGGAGCGCTGCCTATTTCCGGACACTGAGAGTATCTTTGATTATAGCAAAGGCTGCAAGCCTTGAATGCACTTACTAGAAAGCAAGACCTATTAATTCAATGGGACGTTTCAGAGCAAATGTGGCTGGGGCTGTGCTTTGTTTCTCCTACTGGTGCCAGGATCCTACTGGTGCTTGACATGTTCATTAAGCTGCATAACTGGCCACAGAAGACTGTCACTAACGAGGTGCCAGTCTCATTACAAGTTGTACAGGCATGACTGTGCAACAGGTGCGTGCTTAATGAAATGACTGGTGCCTTGTTACTTGCTGGCAATGAGCCTTCATGAGTACCATGATGTCACTTACGCACACGTAAATCACCAAGCAGATACCAGCCAGTGTATATTTGTCTCTGTGTTGTTGTTGTTTTTGGATGCTGGATTTTTTTAATAGGTGATAGTTTTCTAACTGGAACCGCATCCCCCTCCAAATCCTGAAGTTCAAAAAATGTACAACGATTCTCTTACTCTCACTCAGCAAGGAAAACTTCTGAAGTTTTTCCATTTCATTCATAGGCGACCATTTACCTCCCGCCTCTCTGAGAGGTGAAATATTCTATAGTGAAAGGTGATCCAGTCAGATTTATTTATAAAAATCTCTGCTGAAGCAACAATGGGTGACTTATTTACATTCCAGGAGCAGGTTGTTGGTTTTTTGTTTGATCTGTGTGTGACACAAGTGAAGGGGAGGTAGAGGGAGCGTGTCCCATATTTGCATGTAATGTTTGGAAAATTAACGCAACCTCTTCAGAAACAATGCAGAATAACGCCCAATGTAGGCACAAGCTGCCCTTCCAGTCAGAAAATGGCAGCACATCTTCAAAAACTCAGAGGATTGCAAAGCAATTATTGACTTTAAAAAAATTCAAACAGACTGGGATGTAAACGTTAACGGGAAGCACTGTCTTTACTGCCCTCCAGTGGTGAAAGGAGAGAGAATACAAGGAAAAAGCAGGATTATATGCTACACATCATCACATATGCATATATAAAGTCAGATGGCCTTACCATCTGACTTTAGGGAAGCAAGAGGCCTAGAAGTGGCTCTCTGTAGTCAATTCCTGGTTCTGCTACCTGAGAGCCTTGGAATGGAAGATTCCAAGGACTGAACCCGAGGCCTTCTGCATCTGAACTCCAGGTGTCCCATCGTCGGGGTACAGCCTGAAGAATTCCAGTACAGTGACATTTCTTCTGAGGCCCATCCTGAGGAAATATATTTGCCCTTTGTAGGACTAGGGCAGTTCACAATTAGTCTTCTCTGGTTATTATGGGCAAATAGAGTTTTTCATAAAGCCAGGAAGGCTATATTTCCAAGACTACTTCTCTCCAGTTTCCTTCACTGAGTTTCCCATGGCACTCAGCCCCAAGCCTCTCAGCTGAACAGACATAAGGCTGGCAGAGGAGAGCTCCCAATGGTTTCATTACAGAGTCAGAACATACAATGCATCATTAATATTCTTATTTTTAGCATTTTTAAAATAAAATCCAAGGCACAGGGCTTTAGCTACCAGTGTCTCACAGGGGGCATTTCTGCTTCAAATGTAGGAGCAGCAAATACATCTCCCAGTGCAGAAATCCTGGCAGATAGGCACGTTCTACTGGAAAATTCCTGAGGAAGCACAAAAAACAGGAAGCCAAACCTATACTTCCTCTTTTTAGCTTGTTTTCTAGCATGAGAAAAGGTTCAAAGCTTACCTTCTACAATACACGGAGACAGATTTGGGGCTTACAGAACCTTTGAGGTAATACCATCTAGAGCCTACTGCAGATGACACCCTGTACACACAGAACAAAAAGCACATTGTGCATGGCTATTTTCTTTGAGCACAGGGTCCTTCCATATGCCAAAAAACAAAAACAAAAAATAACCCCACTCTGACTTGCCCTAGGCTTTCTTCATTTTAGCCAAAAAAATAATTACAACATGGCTAATCATTTGGTTGCTGCTATTTTGAAATAATGCTGGCAGAGCTCAGTGGTCTGCAATGTCTAAGCCAGGAACCCCCTCCACTATCCCTCCGGGCAGAGGGGCCAATCAAGGTCACTCGCCGTGTTTGCAGTTAATGGCTACCTGTGTGCCCTTAGGTGAGCTGCAGAGTACCTGAATACCAGCAGGAGGAGGGACTGGCCAGCCTGAGAAGGTCACTATTAAGTCACAATTGACTTGGAGGTCCATAATGATTAATTATTGTAAAATATACAGAACTAGAAATCATTGCCAATAGATCCAGATCTGCTTTCAACACATCATCCCTAGACAAAGTTACTCCCCCACCCCACTGCTACTCCATCAAAGGTCCTTCAGGCAGAACAATAATCTAAACAGAAACAAACAACAAAAGGAATCAATCATAAGAAAGCATCATTTTAACCCCTGTTTTTCTCAGACTTAGCCAGACTCAAGTTATCTGTGCACAGGCCTCAGGTTATATGTTAGTTCTCATTCAGAACATCTTAAACTGTATGTAGTTGATGTGAATGGCATGACTCCTGAACAGAAACCTCACTATAAGCTCAACAGTAAGCATCCCCAGGAACTCAGCCTTCATTTTGCTTCTTTAAAAGCACTTTTCCAGCTCAGAAGACTGTGATGAGCTACAGAACATCAGCCCTAGACCACACAGTCAATAACAAGGGGAAGAATTCCAACAACATCTGGAAGTCGACAGGTGACTCCTTCTCCATCCCACCCCCAGGCAATACATGTTTCACGCTATTGATTGTTTTCTGTTGCTATTTTTTTCGTTACATGGTCTTAATACAGCTTATGTACACCATGAAACCCCTGAGATTGGAAGAAAAAAAATGGGGTGGGGTGGGGATCTAAAAATAAACATAGATAACTGATAGCTTTCTAAAAAATCATGTTCCATGCTCATAAATTTATTTTCTTGGGAGCTTTCTGCTCTTCCTAGAGTTGTAGGGCATGTGAAAGGGCACACCACACTTTGGAACTGTGGTTGAATGTACACGCTGAAAATCCCCTTGGTGCAACTTTTCAGAGATTAGCTCCAGCTGCTTCAAAGCCATTCCACCCTACTCATTCTTGCTTACATCTTACCTTGTGCTTTCCATTTGTACTCTAAAGAAAATCTTTATGGGGTGTATTCATACAATCAAGTCTGTATATGTGGATGGAACTTTTTCTTCCCAGATGTTGCAGATCAAATATTAGGCTACAGACATGATGGATCTGCCTCTTATCCACTCTCAATTACCTTTTCTGAAAGTGTGTTCGACTATAACAGGCAAGGGTTTTTCCATGGTTTAGTTCAAACACATAGGTGCCCCTGAAGCACCAGGACACAAATTCACTCCTTCACTTCAAGTCTACGAGGCATGTGAAAGCTCTTTGGCAATGAGGAGAGACGTTGAGTGTGGCTTCTTCAGAGCGCTTGAGTCCTGTGAAGTGAGCGGTCATACTTCATGCTTCCCTTCACTTAACCACCGGGACCGGTATGCAGCCCACCCTCTCGGGCCCTTATCTGACTGGGAAGCATTGTCTATTTTAGCTAACTTGGCCTGTATCTTCTCTTGCCAAGTCTGGTCATCGAGCTCGGTGGCAGCAGCCAAGGCCAGGAGGAAATAACCAGCTGCATCTTGTTCATCCTGACAATGAGAAGCATGAGAATTAATAAATGGTAAGTTGGACATCTGTCTGAGTGAACGTTGCTAGCAAGATGCAGGGACCAAAGGAAAATGGAGGGCCCTCAGGTCCCTTAACTGAGATATTCAATTTCATCAGTTCTCCTGGAAAAGAACATGACCTATACAAAATCCCCATGTTTTAATCCCTTTCAAATCTAATGCTTATGTATCCGATTCATTTATTTTATCATTTATCCCACCATTGTGCAAAATAGCAAAGGCCTCTAACAGTGTTGTTTTATGTGCCATCAGGCTTATGTGGCTTCCTTTATATCATGATGCTTTCTGGTTCTGCCACTCCATACTTCTACTGTTAAACTGGAAGAGATGATAATGCCAGGAGGAGCGCAGGAGCAGAGACAGAGACCATCCTAGCCTCTGGTAGGCTCTTCTACTCCAGCAAAGTAGGAGTAGAAGAAAGGCCATGGTATTACCCTAAAGGGGAGAGACAACTGGGCAATTCATGGCATCTGACAACTGTGTGGTATTCATCTAACAGTCTTCAGCAACCTGATACAGTGGTGCCTCGCTTGACGATGTTAATTCATTCCAGCGAAATCACTGTAGAGCGAAAACATCAAGTGAAATTTCAAAAAAAAAAACCTATTATGCGTTCCAATGGGCTGAATACCTGCTCGTCCAGCGAAGATCCTCCATACGGAGGCCATTTTCGGTGCCTGTAAAGCGAGGAATCCATCCTAGAAAACAGCAGGGGGCCGTTTTCTTCAGCTGGCAGCCATTTTGAAATCTGACCATCAGCTGTTTACTGATTGTCGTAAAGCAAAAATCGGTTTCCGAAGCAGGGAACCGATCATCATTAAATGAAAAAAAACCATTTAAACCATCGTTCTGCAATTGCAAAAGTGATCACAAAAACCTAATTGTACAGCGACTTCCTCGTTAAGCAAGGCAATCATTAAGTGAGGCACCACTGTACACTCCTGAGGTACAACTCTCATCATCCCTGACCACTGGCTATCTGTCTGGAACTGATGAGAAGGGACATGTTGGGTTGAGAAAGCCAGGCGTAATGATTTAATGGAAGCTTTTCCTTTACGTTCCTGTAAGATTAAACACAGCATCACCCTTGTCAAACCTTCAGTGGGATACAACACAGCTTGTCCCACAGATTGCTGTCTCTCACCTTCAATTTGTAGAGTGTCATCTCTCCCAAGCGGCAGTACACTTTGGAGTAATAATTGGCTTCCTGAGGACCTTGCAGCGATGGCGAGTGCAGAGAAAGTGTCCTCAGGTAGCAGTCCTCGGCCATTTCATACATTTGCAGAAAGTAGTACACCGTTGCCAGGCGGTGAAAGGCAACCAGTTCTTGCAACTTATCTCCTGCAAGGAAGAAAAAAAAATCCCCAATATTACAACTTACCAGTAAATGAAGAATGAGTGAGTGTGCAGTGACTTTAAGGGCTAGAATAATTTGGGATGTTTC